GACTGACACATTGTTACAAGGAACACCCAGACACTTGTCCTTAGATGCAGGTGGTAAACATTCAGGGCGGATTCAACAAAGTCAGGTCCTATGAACATGTTTTGTTGTTGAAATGTTTCATCTTTCATCCAGAAGACTTCATCAGTCCGAGGAGCCGCAACCAACTCAGTCTTATAAACAGCACCTTCACACAGTGGGTCAACCAGTTTGATGGTGATAAGATGGTTTCTGGCGTCCGCCCTCTCCCCGGCCGACTCGTTTGAGGCAGCCATGGTCAAAGTGGTTCAGAACATCCTGACTGATGCTCAATAATCCAGGTAGAAAAATCCAACAAAGTTAGGAACAAAAATAATCCGTCCAGAGGACCTGACTTAACTTTGTTAGATTAAGGCAGCATATTTCCAGAGTTGTGTTTTTGTTTGACTACAGAACCACAGAATGAATATTCTTTAGCTCCAGTGATTTTTTTTTTAGTCGCACTTGTAGAAAACACAAAAGTGAAGATATTGAAACGGTTTATTGATGCCTCATGTTGTAAACCTGGTACAGAAATACAGCACAAACCACACAACTAATATCTGATGGGCAGGAAGTTTCTATTTACAATGAATTCTTCTGCCACAAAGGAAGGATGGAGAGGAAAACAGAACGTGTGACTTTAAATTTTGAACATGTAAATTAAAGAAAATAAAAACAAAATTGGTAAACAAATGTAAACTAGGGTCATTAAAACAACAACTATAAATAGTTTATTCAGTCCACCGCTGGGAAAAAGAAGAAACTCCCTGTTTGAAGTTACTGCAAAGTAAAAGCTAATTGTTCTTAACGTAAACTAATTTAAACTCCTTGTATGCGGCGGTGTTCCCTCTGGCTTTGTACTTGTGTTACACAGATTAAACAAAGTATGCTGCTTGAATGTTAAAATATCAAGAACTGAAAGCCCCGGGGCTTTAAGCTCACACATATTTAAGTTTCAAAGACAAAACTCTCATAAAAACAAGATCACTTGCTCTTCCTGAAATGTTTAGCTCTCTCCTCGAGCCACCGTCCTACACTCAGAACACTCGTGTGTGAACGCTGTGAAGCTGTGCGCGTTTAAACGCCACTGAACATCTCTTCAAAAAATTTAAGTGCAAAATGCAAAGCGTCATCTGAAAACACTACTTCTCAAACCAGCGAAGTCATAAATAATACAAAATAAATAATTTAGCTAACTCACTCCATGTGTGAGAGCATGATGTAAAGGTTTGTACAGAACAAACAAACAAACAAACAAACAAACAAACAAAACAAAGTCCCTTAGCAGCAGAAAAGAACGATCAAGAGTCACGCCCGACATTTAACGTGCTTAAAAACACCAGAGGACTGATCTCAAAACAAACAAATGTATTGTTCACAAAAACTTTACGGACAACTCGGACATGGTCGAAGGCGACAGGTCCGTACTCCAACAGAGCGCCCGTTGAATCACAGCACGCTGTGTACCGTGTACTCACTGAGATATCAAGTACAGGTGTTACAATGTGAACAAGGCCAGTGGTTTCACATCTGAAACCTTGGTACCAGTATATAATACAGCCTGGTACTTGTACTGGGTACAAACAGTACTGACCAAGTACATGCAGGGTACAAATGTGGTACTTGAGACAACATACTGCTACGTACCTGATAAATTCTAGGAACTTATTTATTAGGTCACAGGTTTGTAACCTTACAAGTAAAAGTACCTGATAAGTGCCAATTACATACCCAGTAAATATCCTGTAAGTATCAAGTACATACCAAATAAATACCCAGTGTATGCTAGGTACATAGTCAGTAGGTTCAGGCTTGTTTTCAGTATGTTCCAGGTAGTAACTGAGCAAGTTTCAGTAATTACTGGGCTGTATTATATGTTGCTGTAAAAACCTTAAACTCAAGTTGGTTATTTAAAGAGGAAAACCAGTTTAATGTGGACATGAGCTAAAAATAACAAACCAACCAGAATCAGTAAAATACACCAACTACATGCAGATCTCAAGTAGGACTTACTGGAACCACTCTATCTTTGTGTCCAGTTCACAAGCAGAATCTGAATATAATACACATTTAGAAATCCATATTTACTGAGTGTATATCTATAAACTGTATAGTCATAGGATTTTAAAATAAATTTATTTTGAAATGATTCTTAAAGCAATTTAAAAAAACTTTTATTGGTCCACGAGCTTTGCAGCTCTTAATGCAAAATCAACTAAGCATTTTGAACTGGATTTAATTCTGATTCAAGCTCTACATTTTTATATATATATATATATATATATATATACATATATATATATGTATATATATATACATATATATATAAAATCTTGTCATTCTCTTAAAATAACCCTAATTTAAAAAATGTGGACGTTAAAGGTAAAAACTAGGGATGCACGATATTATCGCCATGGTATCGGCTGATATTAGCAATAAAGTTAAATATCGGACATTCCATCAAAATAACTGAGATACACAAGGTGCTGTTTTTGTGTGACAACCCAGTGACGAGGATGCCTGCACACCAGCAGTTCATAGAGATCTGAGTTGATCATTAAGATCGTATAACACCACGTATTGGGCTTCTGTTTAAGTTAATTTTTAATTTAAGAAACTGTGAAGTATATCTATTAATGCACTACTACTCATGCGCTTTTCACTTGTTGCTTGTGAACAGGTTGAGTTTAGATTTGTGAAAAGTTACAAATTTGCAAAGTTCGAGTGTTGTCATTGTGTTAGAGAGTAAATGTCATGAAACATTAAACATAATCCAAGTTGAAGTGTTGCATCATTTTCAGTCTCTTTAACATCTGCATCTGGTAGCAGCTCAAACTGACAAAGACCGTGCAGAATAATGTTTTAATCCCACAGCAGAGAAAGCTGTGTAGTCTCTGCAAGTAGGTCGAAGAAAAAAAATATCAGTATTGGTATCGGTTATCGACCAAAGAAGTTTTAACATATCGGATATCGGCCAAAACTCCAATATTGTGCATCCCTAGTAAAAACAGATCACAATGATTTGCAAATCTCACAAACACAAATCTTGTTCACAACAAAACACAGTTAACCTATCACATACTGAAGATTTTCAATTTTGTTTTAATGAAAGCATTATTTTAAATGTGATGGCAGCAACACATTTCTAAATGTTGGTCCCAGTTTCCCAGTGAAGCACCTCCTCCTCATCCAACAACAGTCTGTAAGCATCCAGGACCAGAAAAGAACAGTTGGACTATTGGGAGGACAATGTTGTCCCACTCCAGTCTGATGTAGGATTATGGCTGTTCAGCGGTGTCGTTTGATTACCGGTATGCATCAAATGTTATTACTGGTCAGAGGTCTGGACTGAGACAGACCAGTTCAGCACCTGGTTTCTTCTACTCCCATACCTGAAAGTCTTCAATCTGTCCTCAGGACGTGATGTGAACTTGGTTAAACTGCCTTTTCTGTTCCCTTTTGTAAGTTTATAAAAAACTGCATTAAAAACAAGTTGTGAGTCTAAACTGGAGTCAGAAATCACTGGTCTTGTCTAGAGCGGTACAGTGTCTCAGTTGGTAGAGATATTGCCTCTCGGTGAGAAGTTCGCCAGTTCAAATCCCGGTCCGGGGGCTTTGTTCGCTCTGTGCATGCGTGGGTTTTCTCCTGGTACTCCAGTTTCCTCCCACAGACCAAAAACATGCATGTTAGGCTGATGGTAACTCTAAATTGTCTCTAGGTGTGAGTGAGAGTGAATGGTTGTTTGTCTCTTTTGTCTCCATGTGTCCCTGTGATGGACTGGAGACCTGTCCAGGGTGTCCCCCACCTCTCACACAGTGACTGCTGGACATGGGCACCAGTGACCCCCATGACCCGAAAAGGAATAAGCAGGTAAAGATAATGGATGGTCTTGTCTAGTTTTATTCCTGATACTTTTTACTTTGTTACTTCTTTAATATTTGTACATAATTTGTAAGTAAATGTGTCTTCTGCACAAGTCTATGACTTTTATGTGACTGCTCTTGACTCGTCTTGCTCCACAGTTTAGACCAGGACAGAAGAAGACATCAGTCATGGGACGATCCAGGACCGTTGAACACACCTTACATCAGACAAGACTGGGACAACCAAAACCTCCGGCAGCTGCTCTCCTCCGCCCATAAAGGTTTGCAGTCTGCTGGAAGACGGGACGCTCCACTCACTATGATCCAGTTTAAATCAAATCTGGGTTTATGAGACTTGTAAATTATTGCATCCGGTGTCCATGTACAAGTTAACCAGGTTGTAATTTGTTGAACAACACTGGGAATATCATTTCAAACGGTTGAGAGAAACAGTGCACCGACTCAAAAACAAAGTTTTTCTACAAGCAACAAATAACTTCAGTGAAATTATACAAGTAGAATCATTTGACATGACTGGTTTCTATTAAAAATATAAAGGCAAAACCTTTTAAAGCTGTGACGAACAAATAAGAGCGAGTCTTGTTTTAGCCTCGACTACAGTTGTGTGTGTGTGTGTGTGTGTTTTGTGTAGACACTGGCTTCAGCAAGTATTCAGATTCTCTGATACTACAATAGTTACCACCAGCTCGCAAAATATGGCAGAAACAAAACAAAGTGTTGCTCATGTCTGCATGTGTATGCAAGAGCTGGACCAAAAACATCTCAAGAACCACTGGATGGGTCCAGATCTGGGCTTTAAGGAATCCTGTTTGTGAGCTCTGCAGGCAGTTCTTCTGACATCATGGTTTTGTTTTGCTCTGTCAGGTGTGCGCACTTCAAATGACCACAGGTGGACTCAAGGTGTAAACGCTTCTGAGCAGAGATCAAGAGAAACGGGAGACATCTGAGCACAACGTCACAAAAGAGCAAAAAGAGGAAGTAGTCTGCATCGCCTTCCTAACTTAAAGAACCAGCATTGGATCCTGAAATGAACATCTTTGGGAGGCGCTGCCCATGTATACCATGCTGCATGTGCAGAGGAAGGACAACACCTGGTGTGTTTGTGCATGGTAGTGCTGATGTGTAAAAAAATCATATTCAAACTAGTAGAAAGGAAAGATGAGGAAATAAACGAGACATTGAGGACAGCAGAGTGTAGTTGTGTTCAGCAGGCACAGTCTTGATGAGACCTCTGGGGCTGCTCGTTAAGTTGTGGTCCCTGCTTGGCTCCGGTGATCGTCGGGTCGTTGTTGTCCAGACTCTCTGCCATCCTCTCACAGATGACGTCCACCAGTCGCTCGAACGTTTGCTTCACGTTAATGTTGTCCTTAGCGCTCGTTTCAAAAAACTCAAAACCTGTTGAGGAGACAGAAATAAACAAGCTCAGGTTACACTTGCAGCTTTAACGGAAAAATTATCCACATAATTACGGATGCACGCTTATTATTGTTTTTCTGTTTTGTTTTGTGGTAATCAAACTGCTTTTGCATACTTGGTAAATTTTCCCCATTCCTGCATCAAATTGTTGAGTGCACTTTTATACGTTCCAAAATATTTACCGTAATTGCCGGTCTATAGAGCACACCCAAATGTAAGCTGCACACACTAAATAATAATAAAAACAACTAGTTTGTACATATACAGTATAAGACATGTAAAAGCCGCGGGTGTTCACGTTGTAACATGAGCGGCAGGACAGCTACTGAGAGAGATGTGCAACTCTTGTTGTGGATCAAGAATCAACCACCAGATGGAGCTGTATACTTCATTTTACTTTTATTATACTTTATTTTACTGTTCAACACAAAATGCTGGTGAAGATTCTCAGTCATCCAGGACATGATGAATTCAAAAAGCGTTCAATACAAAAACAACTGGACTTTATTTGTAACGCTTTTTGAATTGTTCAACACAAACACAGAGCGTGAACCCCACAGGTCTTCATGACAACTACCTTAATGTAATCTTGTGTGATTCCTTGTCTTATCTTATCTTATCTTACCTCCCTCACTCGTGGTTACTGTACTGAATGACCCAACACATAATGAACACAAACCAGGCTAACAAGAACAGACTAATCAGAATCAGTTTATTATCGCCATGTCAATGAACGAGGTTCACAAACTAGGAATTTGCTTCGACATAAGGTGCGAATAGTACTAAAGTAAAATAAAGTAAAAATAAAGTAAAAATGAGAACATTACATAAGACCTGTGTACACCCACAAATAAAGTAAAATTAAAAACATAACATAACCATATGTACACCCATACAATAGAAAACAATAAAAAAGCTTAGAGAACAGTACAGATGGAGTATTCAATTATAATACAGATGTAATGTGACCAAAGCAGAAGTTATGAGGTAGCATTATGAGTGTTCAGGAGTCCAACAGCAGAGGGGAAGAAACTGTTCTTATGGCGGGAGGTTCTGGTCCGAATGGACCGAAGCCTCCAGCCTGAGGGGAGTGGTTCAAACAGACCATAACAGACCTAACAGAACCATATAAAAAAGCTAATGGAAATTATTAACAATGAACATAAATTTTACCCATAATCCCTCCCTGAGGCCATGTGACCGACAGTCAACCACAATGAACCAATGAGGTAGTCTCATTGAGTCCCGCGGCCGCCATTTGGCAGCCAATCGATTTTTGGCACAACACTGACCCACATTTCTGGGTTGTCAGCAGTGACGCATAATAAATACAATGTATACGGCGAAGCGACGTATTTATGGATTTTTCCACTTTATTAGACGTATTTGGACTGATGCGACTTGTAGGGCGGTGCGAAGTGTACAGCAGAAAATACGGTCATTCGCATTTGAGCCTTTGAGTTCTGTCTGCCTTCTAGATTCTTTGTTTTGAATTCATGTCAGAAAGGCTGCGTTTAGGCCGTCCAAACAAAAACCATGTGGAGATTCAACTTTTTTTCACTATGGAAATTCTAAATTGTTCTTAAGTGTGTGAACGGTTGTTTGTCTCGTTTGTCTCCATCTGTCCCTGACTGTGATGGACTTGCAATCTGTCCAGTTGTACCTCACCCACAGGGACTACTGGACATGGGCACCAGCATCCCCCACGACTCAGAAAGGAAGAAGCGGTTATAGATGATGGATGGATGGAACCCAGTTTTAAAAAATACAATTTAGGGGTTCCTAAAACTCTTTGTGTGGACGCAGGGCTGAAAACAATTTAAAAAACCACCTTTACAACCATTTAACCGTTCTGCGTTAATAAAACATTCAAACTCTTGTGGAAAACGGTCTAAAACATGTAGTTTTGACTCAGACCAAACTTACCCAGCTGTTCTGACAGCTGCCGCCCCCTCTCCGACGCTACAATTCGTTCATCGTCCATATCACACTTGTTCCCCACCAACAGGACTTGAGCGTTGTCCCAGGAATATGTCTTGATCTGTGTTGACCTGTTAACAGATACAGAGGGAGCATCAAGACACACGGTACTTCACAAGAACTTTCAGCTTAAACTTTTCAAGATGTCCTGAAAAGACGTGGACATTTCAGCACTGCCTGAACTCACAAGGCGTCAGTAACTTTTTACATACTTCAGTAAAAGTAATTGTGTCAGCGAACTGTGCAGTAAAAATACGCATCTGAGTCGGCAGGTTTGGACTGCAATGTCCAGTGAAACTACTTCAGTCTCAACGTTGAAAATACTACATTCAAGTTCATGCATTTTCAAGGAGTTCAAGCACCCATTTGCACTATCTTTAAATGGGTGCCAATTACTAAAGTACTGTATTTTCCACTGCATCAGTCAAAATATGTTTAATAAAGTGAAAAAAAAATACGTTGCTTGGCCATATAAATCATATCTATTATGCGTCACCGCTGACCACATGGAAACGTGGGCCGGTGTTGTGCCAAAAATAGATTGGCTGCCACATGAGCGTGAACGGGAGGACTTTAACAAGGATTTAAACAAGATTAACACCTAAAAACAATTATTTGTTTGCTCGAAATTACAGTAAAGGTGAGTCTCAGTCTAAATTTTCCTTAATAAATGCACTTGAATGGACAAATCAGCTGCATTTCAAAAGTATTTGCTGCCTCGGTGCTCCGGGAGTGTGCGGAGAGAGGAAATCAGGAAGGAGGAACGCTGTGCATTTCTTCGAAATTTAACACGATAACCACCTAAAACAATTATTTGTTTGCTTGACATTATAGTAAAGGTGTGTCTCTGTTTAACTTTTATTTAATAACTGCACATCAGTGATCAACATAGCTGCATTTCTCCAGGGCGGTGCAGCAAAATGAAGCTGATTTGACGGTTGCTCCAGGCGTGATCCCAGAGCTGGATGAATGTAGCAGTGTATGGCAAGCAGATTGCATCATTAATAGCCACTTTTACCTTTTACATGACACAACGGCATGCCATAAAACTCAAGTGCCATCTAGAGGCTGAAAATGGTAGTGTTCAATATTTTCAGTCAGAATGAATGAAAACAGTCATATCTCAGACAAAAACTGGTTTATAAATACGGGAAAAAAAAATCCATAAATACTTTGCAGCAGTGTAGAAGTCACAGGGAATGTAAATTACACAAAAAACTGTGACTTATAGGCCGAAAAACTCAGTACTGTATTTTTGTGCTAAACAAAAACAATGGGTATTGTTTCAAGAGTTTCTCTTAATGTTCTGCCAAATTACTACTTACCATGACTAAAACATGCCTGTAGCTGGCGGTACAACAGAGCTGTCCATCCTACTTTCTTGTAAGTCTACTTGTACTTGTGCATACAAAATCACTCCAACCCCATTTTAAAAATTAAAGAGTTGGGCAATTAAACAAATTTGTAATTTTGATTTAGATTTTTGTTCCAAATGAGCCTAAAAACAGGGTGGCAGGGTAGCGCAGTTGGTAGAGCTGCCGCCTCTCAGCGAGAAGGTCACTAGCTCAAATCCCGTCCCAGAACCCCTCTGGGTAGAGTTTGCATGTTCTCTCCATGCATGCGTGGGTTTTCTCCAGGTACTCCAGTTTCCTCCCACAGACCAAAAATATGCATGTTAGACTGATTGGTAACTCTAAATTGTCCCTAGGTGTGAGTGAGAGAGTGAACGGTGGTTTGTCTCGTTTGTCTCTGTGTCCCTGTGATGGACTGGAGACCTGTCCAGGGTATCCCCCACCTCTCGCACAGTGATTGCTGGACATGGGCACCAGTGACTCCAGTGACCCGAAAAGGAAGAAGCAGGTAAAAGATAATGGATGGATCCTAAAAACAGTAGAGCCGAGAAAAAATAATTATTCTTAAGTTTATGTTGCCATATTCAGATTTTTCTGCAAGCTCCCTTATTGCTTTGCACCTTAAACAAGTAATACACCAATGTCCCTCGTCACTGAGGGATTTGAAAAGTGAATATAGTTATTGAGAAGATTTTCAAGTTTTTCAGGTCTGGAATTGAACAGGGAATACGAACCGGATTCCAAAAAAGTTGGGACACTAAACAAATTGTGAATAAAAACTGAATGCAATCATGTGGAGATGGCAAATATCAATATTTTATTTGTAATATAACATAGATGACAGATCAAAGGCAGCACGGTGGCGCAACTGGTAGAGCTGCTGCCTCTCAGCGAGCAGGTCCTGGTTCAAACCCCAGTCCAGGGGCCTTTCTGGGTGGAGTTTGCATGTTCTTTCCGTGCATGCGTGGGTTTTCTTCAGGTACTCCGGTTTCCTCCCACAGACCAAAAACATGCATGTTAGGCTGATTGGTAACTCTAAATTGTCCCTAGGTGTGAGTGAGAGAGTGAATGGTTGTTTGTTTCGTTTGTCTCTATGTGGCCCTGTGATGGACTTGCGACCTGTCCAGGGTGTACCCCGCCCCTCGCACAGTGATCGCTGGACATGGGCACTGGCGACCCCCGTGACCCAAAATGGAATAAGCGGGTAAAGATAATGGATGGATGGATGACGGATCAAAAGTTTAATCTGAGTAAATGTAACATTTTAAAAGGAAAAATATGTTGATTCAAAATTTCAGTGTCAACAAATCCCAAAAAAGTTGGGACAAGTAGCAATAAGTGGCTGGAAAAAGGAAATTGAGCATATAACGAACAGCTGGAAGACCAATTAACACTAATTAGGTCAATTGACAACATGATTGGGTATAAAAAGAGCTTCTCAGAGTGTCAGTGTCTCTCAGAAGCCAAGATGGTAAGAGTATCACCAATTCCACCATTGTTGCACAGAAAGATAGTGCAGCAATACCAGAATGGTGTTATCCAGCGTAAAATAGCAAAGACTTTTAAGTTATCATCATCAACCGTGCATAACATCATCAAAAGATTCAGAGAATCTGGAACAATCGCTGTGCGTAAGGGTCAAGGCCGTAAAACTCGACTGGATGCTCGTGATCTCCGGGCCCTTAAACGTCACTGCACCTCAAACAGGAATGCCACTGTCAAGGAAATAACAGAATGGGCTCAGGAATACTTCCAGAAAGCATTGTCAGTGAACACAAT